ACCTCCACCAGCTGCATGCAAAATGTTACATTTACCTTTTCATTTCCAGGATTTCATTTGATATTTCTTCATTGCGCTGTGTTCTAAATAGATTTCACTGCAACAAAAACTTGTTGTTGCAAACTATATCACTGGTGCCGTTATAAACAAGAGATCCCAGAGGGATCTTGGCACCCACCATTGTTTGATCTTTACATGCTCTTTGAAAATTGGATCTTTTTCCTTTTCTCTTCTCTTTTTGCTCTTAATGATTAGACATTTGAATATTCCTTTGTAGAAATAGCAATGATTACCTTTACCTGACAAATCCAAAATGGCCACCTGGAAGCCATTTTCTTCTGATCAATCCCAAAAGCAAATGAGCACAAGGAGGGAACAAAGGGAATATATGTATGAAATTTGAGAGATATCCATTCAGTACTTCTTGCAAAATAGCAAAAGAAATAAGAAATAACAATCTTTTCTAGGCAAAATCAAAGATGGCTGCCAGTCAGCCATTTTGTTTTATGATCAGTCCAAAACTCAAATAGGCACAACTAGGGACCTACAGAACCCTATACATGAAATCTGAAAAAAAAATCTTTTCAGTAGTTCTCAAGAAATAGTGGTTACAAACTTTCGAAGTCAAAATGATGACAAGATGTTGTGTCTGTCAGCCATTTTGTTTTTTCTGATCAGTCCCAAAATCACACAGGCACAACTAGGGATCAAGGGAAACCCACATATTCAGTTTGAGAAAAATCCATCCAGTACTTCTCAAGAAATAGCGATAACAAAATTGTTTATGGATAGACGGGTGATGATCTGATGATGATGGGCTAAAAAAGACAACAATTTTATTCTATTTTAAAAAACATTTAATAAAAAATATTGCAAAGGTACTTTTTGTTGCATCTCTCAGAATTTTTATCTCAATTATTCAATGGTCAATCAACCCTACATTCATTGCAATTTCTAATGACTTGTAACCACTGCTTCAGTGAGTCATGTTTTAAATGAAAAGGCATTAATAAGGAAACAAAACAGTGAACATCTCCCAGGGTGTGACGATAACTGTTGTGAATTATCACAAATTATTGATATTTATGTACCTTCTTATTGAAATATAAGTTTATAAAAGTAATCATACTAGATGAGATCCACTGCTAGGCAAGACAAATAGATGCCATGATTGATTATTGCAGATAAACTTTTACCTAAAAGTGACTAAATTAATCTTTAAAAAAAAACTTGGGTTAATCCATTACATAAAATATCAAGAAATTGAAAAATTGCAGTGGTTTCTTAAATCTGCCTATAATGTTATCAAAAACTTTTTACACTTGGGTTGAGTAGTTGACAACCAAGACAATCTAGCACTGGAGATAACTATCATGCTCAGTCTTAAAATAGCACCAACAGTCATTTCACACATATTTAATATGTACATTTAACAACCACATGATCAAGTATGAGTGGACAGTCACATGACCAAGTGTGAAAGGAGTCACATGATCGATAGTGAATTTGATAGTCACATAATCAAGTGAGAGTTTGCCAATCACATGATCAACTTTGAGTGAACAGTCACATGATGTGTTGCACCTTGTGTCTTCCTTTGGAAGATCACCAATTACATAACCAAATATAACTTAAACTACAAATGAACAGTATTGATGTCTGTTAATTAACTACTATAGATAGCACTACAGGTTTCCTTCCAAGTTAACCTCCTATACATCACATATATGTAAAGGGAAGTAACTCCATTAGATAAAAATCCATCAAAATGTAACAGTTGGATTAAATTTGTTTCTAGTCTAAAAGCTGAATATAAGAATGATAAGATGTTACAAATATTATGAAAAAAAAATCTAGGTGGGTCACTGACACTTTGGTCCTTCCCGTTCATCAATCAGAATTTAGATGCAATATCCAGAGTAATGATGTCTTTTTCTTAACAATCATGTAGAAGCATTTCTTTACAAGCGTAAAAACAGCGGTAATAATTTAAAAGAAGAAAAGAACATGTTCACTGAAAAGAAGTAATTTCATCCAACGAAATACATTGTTGTTTACAGAAAGAAATGTGGTTTTTTATGATGATAGTATGAAGTCTGTTGTGAATAAGGTCATAATAGTAATATCAGGAAAAATCCTCCCAAATTCAATTGACAAAACAGAGATACATTGTATAATCAAAAGGTGATCAAGTTTTAACAAATCATCGTTCACAATGACAGACTAAATTACAAATGTGCCTAATACACCTGGTCATATTTAAAACATATGTAAACATTATCATTGCTAAATGTACCATTAATAAAACACTTTCTCTTGTAAACTTTCAATGACGAGTACACTTGATAAACATATCTTTGGCAACTTAAATGAACACAACCAAAGTCGACCAGAGACACAATTGTAACAATAATATTGCTACAAAGATATAGAATATTATATCAAAAGGAATTTTTTGCATTGCTCTAGTAGATCATTATTTACAATGGATAATGGGTTTGCATTGAGTGTTTAGTAAATGGGGTCCTTTTCACACTAAACAAGGTGCTTCTATATAGTTTGAATGGAAATCAGAAGAAAAGGAAGGGAAGGGGTGATGGGATGGAGATGTGATCTTTTCCAGTTAGAATGCTCTATCCGGGGATATTTGAACAGATTAAATGCAACTATCCCTGTCAAATGTTTCTAATGTATTTCTCAATTCTAACATTTTAACACAGATTGATTAATCTTTTTTTTTTAAATAAATAGTATTAACCTTGTAGTTTCTATGTTTAAAATGCTTAACTTTCACACCCCTCATCGTAAAAATGTGAACAGTCAAAGTTTGTGTTTTTGGACATTTCATTTTTTCATAAAATTCTGATTAGTATACTGGAGACACAGTGTACGATGAAAACCTCACAAGCACATCCCAGATATAAAAAGAAGTCTTGCAATGTTATTGCGTACTATCATACTCCGTCTACAAAATTATTTAGAAACATACTTATAAAGAGCCACTATTTTACCGAAATGTTAAAGGTATTTAAACATGATAATTAAATATTCATTGCATAGTTAATTTTTGTATCAAATAAAAATAAGAATTAAACCAACCTTTTTCATCTTTCCCAAATTAGAGGACATATTAAACAAGATAACAATGCTATTAGTGCCACCTACACACCAACAACTGAACATATAATGTACACAACCGAAGAAAAAACAAACTCGGACTAGCACTAATCTCTAGTATCAATAAGTCATTACCAGAAATCCTGGTGTGACCCATGTCCTGTGAATAATAATGCTTTTAATGTCACTGTCCCATGGATCAGTCTCTCTGTTACATATCAATGCACATTGTGATGGTGGCGCATAATGTTGCGTTTTGTATTAAAGCAGTATTTGATGTAAATGAGATTTTGCTGTAACAATGAATTTCCTGAAATACCAGGTAACAACATCAGATAAAATCAAACTAATTGTTCAAAGCAGTGTAAGCCCTTCTCAACCAGTATCTGACTGAAACCACACAAAACAGAAGACAAAAACTAAAGGAAATGCTTACAGTAATGTCAGACATTAAAAATCAATGATTATTTTCACAAATTGTTCTGGGATATAGGACCCCAAGTACTTTTCCAATACAACATCTACTTGATCCAAAGATTCCAAAATTAATTACTTCTATCCAAGATTTCTTGACTATTATTTCTGATATGATTAGTAACTTATCACTTAAATTCTAATGGTTGGTACCCCATTTTGGCCCAAACCTTCAGTCCCTGAGGGTCAGCTGGGTTCAATATGTGCATACCATCACAATGCCATTCTATACTAAAAATAATAAAAAATTTTTTTTCAAATGGAAAATAAACATATTATACTCAAAAATGTGATTTTCCTATGAAAACTAGTAAACTTTACCCCTTCCAAAAGGGAAATATGAGACCCCAAGTCATGAAATTCACAACTGTGTTAAAGCATCTCCAGGTTCTTCTATCCATTAAAATCATTTTATTCCACCATATCTAGTAGTGAGAAATGAGTTTTGAAATGTGAGTTAATGTGACCTCTTTTGGACCCATCCAGAAGACCCTTTGGGTAGGGGACCATATCGTTTCCAAATTTGGTTCACCTTTGGCCATTGAAGCTTTCTGCAAAATTTCACTGAAATTGGTAAAGGGGTTTTCCAGAAATTGAAATATTTATTGTTTACAAAGGATGATGTCTGACAAAAGGTGATCGCAATAGGTTACCATGAGACCTTGTCTCAGGTGACTGACAAACGTATGACTAATACTGCAATTTCAGCCTTCTGGTCTCTATAATGTGTACAGTTTATAATAGACATTGTTGTTAATAAAAGCAGTACTTTATCTTAATTATCTCCAATTTTAATGTCCAGCATAACTCTGGAGGAAGTAAGACATTAAAAGTCATGAGATTAATACTCCTTATAAAAAGTAAATCAGTTCTAAGTAAAAAGTGATAAAAATAAAATATAAAAGGTAAAACACGAGGAAGTCACAGTTTCAAATTTCTAACAATCAGTAGAATAGAAATAAAAATGACTTTTATCTGTTTACAGAGAATTTTGACAATCTCTTAGATTTTACTTTGAATGCTGTTTCTGAATTTGATCATGAGAAATTCCAATTCGAAACCGCTTTTTTTCACAAAGGTAAGAGGTTTTATTGGTAATCAAGAATGAATTTTTGTATCAATTTTCTTAAATAATTTCTTGTGATCAACAATACATTCAATATCAAAACGTATCAATACTTTATCAATTCAAACAGAAAGATAACTGTAAATGAACATGCATGTACATATGCACATACCGATGAAGCTTGGGAATAATTGCAGTTTTTCCGATGAATGATGTACACTGGTAACCTTAGAAATACCTGTTGATGGTAAATCTTAACTTTCAAATTAAAGCTACCATAGTTACTTAATGGCAAATTCTAAACAAACACATAACAAATTCTGAAAATGATATAGAAACACAATACTAAACTAAAAAAAAAAAAAAAAAAATGCAAATGTTTACATTGACCTAAATTACAAGTAAAAAGTATCATAATTTCATAGTTTTGTAAAGTCTACTTTAAGTAATTTGCTCTAAAAACTTCTCACAATCTTTAGGTCTCAGTAATGCTGCACATGTATGCTAATTATCCCAACAATAAATAATATGTCGAATATACATGCAATTACACATTAACACTTTCCTATACAACCATGGCATCTTTCAGACATATAAAAACGTAATTATCTCATTTTAACACATAGTATACAAAATCATTATATACACACTTTTTACATCGCATTTAAATATATATACACTGCTGTATTGCTGTCCACCTCACAACCAAACATTCTAGAGATCTTGACTTGCAGTCGGATTTCTCATCATACAGTTTTTGATATTTCAGAGACCTAGACATCCCCATCAGGTGTCTCTGGAATTGTCTGTAGGTGACCCCTAATCACAGATGATCTTGACCCATCACTATTATCAGACTCAAACACATCATCAACATATTCATTCAGAAGTCTTCTCTGTGGACGATAGTTATTGCGTCGTGGAAGTCGGGAGTACCGATCAGGTCCACGATGTGAGGTATTTTGAGACATGCTTTCTAGGAGAGGGGACGCGGGAGAACCATTAGAGATTTGGTTAAATTCTTCCAGAGATGATGGGACATAGCCAGAAGGACGTCGATGTATTACAACATATTCCCCTTCCATTTCACCTGTAAATAAACATATAAATGTATTGTCAAAATTGCATGATTGAAAAAAAAAAAAAAAAAACAATCAAGTTGTCCAATCTGACAGAGACTACTTTAAGCTGTATGTACAAATAATCACTTTTTGAACAGAATAAAAAAAACTATGGTGTCTTATCAAGTTATTTCACTGAGCAATTTGTTTATTTTTCATTTGTTTTGATAATGACCACAGCAAAACTAAAGTTAGCCATTTACATGTTCTGCAAATGTAAATCTTTTAAAGGAATAGTTTTTTATGCTTAATATTAATAATCATAAACACTGGAATTTATGAAAGACTTATGTCAATAATAGTAATACCTATATAGGAAGATTTGATCAATGATATATATATTTGAATAATTTGATTAGTCCTAAATACTGTTTGGTATTGACCTAATGACCCAATAATACCCCTGACCAAAATCATTTAATAGTGAATTCCATATTCATTTATTTTTTCACTATTATTGTGAATATTATTGTTTAGGTATTTTCCTATATGTTATAAGTAAAGACTTGCTACTTACTCTCCCCATCACAGAAACAAAAAATGAATAAGATTTGTGTCCTTGGCCAAACAGAACTTTAAAATTTACAATATTTTTTCTACCAATTAACCATTCCAAGGATGAGTGGGTCAAAATTAATGCCAAACAAATTTAAAGTACATTTTAAGGATCACTCTAGTAATTAAATGATCACCTCTTTCTGAAGACGAAGGCTGCCTTGTCTTTGCCTGACGATACTTGAGAAATCTGGCATAGGTCACAAAAACAATGACCGTAGCTACGACAACCAGTAAACATAACACTCCAATCAGGGAGAAGGCCAACTGACGCCAGTGTTCCATGTCACTTTTTTCCACAAGGTCATACTTGTGCAGTGTTTTATTATTTTTGTATGTAGGATCTTCAGACAACACATGCTGTGATCTTTGTGATCCCTGGAAAGAAAAGCCTACAAATGGTCCACATTTAGTGTCGCTCTTTGGACCACATAATTTAATGACAATTAAATCTGGAGGACATTCAGTACAGGTGACACAGTTTTCATCAGCAGTCATGAAATGATTTCCGCTGCATTCCACTGGAGGTCCTATTTCTGGTTCCTTGACCCTCTGTCCCACTACTAGCGAAGAGTCTAGGAAGCCCAGGAGTAGGGCCAGCAAGACAGCCATTTTACATACACTCTTCATTTGTAGTTCTAATGAATAAAAACAAAAACATTGTTTATATAAAATCATCTTAATATTATTTTTGTGTCTGATAAATAACTCTTTCTCAGAGATAATGAACTAGTGACACGTCCTACTCTAGCTAGGGAAATTCCCATTGCTTTGGCTAGTAAGTTGGACTGAACAGTAAACTTCAAGACAAACCCCCTTTTCACAAATTCTATGACCCTGCAGACAATAACAAGGAGGTTTCGATTTCCAAAGAAGCATCACAATGTCCAATTGCTTCCACAGCTACTTGTGGACTCGATTTCAATAGCATTTAAAAATAACAAACCACAAACTGGAAAATCTAGTGTGCGGTTTGTCATTTTTAAGGGCTATTTAAATCGAGTCCACAAGTACCTGTGATTGGTTCATTGGCCCCATGTTATATGTTTACATCAATATATATAGTACAAATCGCTGCTTATATGTAAACATTAAAGAATCAACAATGCAAATACAGTTGATGAGCGTATCGTTACTTATGACACAATGAGATACAAATAGTCATGATCTCCGGGCTTTCCTGTAGGACTAAATAACTGCAAATGGGGTGTTCAGGTAGTGGTAATTTATATTTACAGGGATTCTATCATCCGATCAAGTTCTGTAACTAATAATCAACGAAAATGGCGTACTTCCCATGTAATATTTTACCTGTGGTAACCGCATGTTTGTCAATCGTTTCCTACATAGCGAAGACCAACTTCGAATGAACTCAAGACAACCGGAAATTGTAGTCACGTGGTAGGTAATTTCTAAGCTCCAAAACACACAGGGAGTTTTGCCAACCAAAAATCCGGTAACCAGCCGATACAGAGTAGTTCTGAAATTGTCATGTATCGTTACAATGGTTGAGTAATATTGTAATTATTCTAGGAAGGGTCAGTCATTTTTACCAATAATTATTTCTATGGCAGACAGGGCTATTTTTGAAATACCTATTATTTTTCAGAGATTTTTAGTAAAATCTATTCGAATTATATTGTTAAACGTACTTGTAATGAAACAGTTCTGTTTGAATTTGTCTGAACATCAGATCAGACAACTGATTTCCCAGTTGGTTCCCCGTTTTTAATCAAACTTTATTCATATCATTATACAGATAATGTAAAAAAAATCTTAACGTGATATATCAATCTATCCGGTTTCTGACTTGGTCATAATTATCAATCATGGCTCGTCATTATATTGAACATTTGGCACTTTTACGTATACAGAAGGAGAGGATTGTAAAAGTTTGTTTTAATGAAAACTCTTGTATGCCCTCTCCTTCCCTACAATACTGTCCCATTACAGGCAACGCTGTCCCTCCCCTACAACGATACCCAATTAACATTCAAAGTTGTTCTTGCCTAACAACGATGACCCATTACCTTCAACAGTTGTTCCTTCCTAATAATGATGCCCCATTACCTTCAAAAGTTGTTACTTTTTAACAATGATGCCCCATTACCTTCAACAGCTGTTCCTTCCTAACGATGATGCACCATTACCTTCAAAAAAGATCCTTTCTAACAAAGATGACCCATTACCTTCAAAATAGATCCTTCCTAACAATGATGACCCATTACCTTCAAAACAGATCCTTTCTAACAATGATGACCCATTACCTTCAAAAGTTGTTCCTTCGTAACAATGATGCCCCATTACCTTCAACAGTTGTTCCTTCCTATCAATGATGCCCCATTACCTTCAAAAGTTGTTACTTTTTAACAATTATGCCCAATTACCTTCAAACGTTTTTTCTTTCCTAAATAGATGTCTCCATTACCTACAAAGCTGTCCCTTTTCCTACCATCACCTTTCATGGCTGGCTCTCCCTTACAATGATTGCTTTCCCCTACAAAGCTGCCCCTCTCCCTATAAGGTTGTAATACTGCCCCTCCACTACTTATCCCCCTCCCTTTCCCTTTAATGTTGCCAATCCACCTACACTTTCCACATCCCATACCTTGACGTCGAATGCTGTTTGTGTATATCAGGAGAGAGGATAAATGATACAATTTTGGATATTTTGTCCTATCTAAATAGGACATATTGGAAAACGAATGCTTTACAAGAAGAAGCTTTAATAGATATTGTTTATATGTTATTATATATGGTTAATGGAAATTGAAAGAAAGACGGATAGAAAAAAGAATAAAAGAGTACCTAGATATACAGATTAATAGTTTATTTTTCCTAACATTACTTCAACCCTAATCCCGTGTCTTCTACTCTAACTAGTTCGCCCAGCCATATGGGTTATGCATCGTCGTAAATGAAATGGAACCCTATGGCCACGGAACTCAATGGCTATTGAGATACTGTACTACTGTAGCCCAATAACTAAATATATTTCGCAATTTTATTTTGTTAGATCAATTTAGAGGTTTTAGTTTAAATAAATCTAATTGCAACAAAAGACAACAGGGTTGGACAAAAGTTATTGTAACTTACTTATGACCTTTCCATAACAAATAAATATACACAAATACAATTTTGTCACGCAATAGCCATTCGTTAGGTAGGTACTTTATATATATATATTTATATATATATATGCACGTTTTTAAATTAAGAGGTATGAATCATAGTGAAAGGGATGATCATAGGGAGGGTGACATAAACATGTGATTTTACATAAAATTTGCATTGACAGGGTTTCCTCAGAGCGCACGTGATTTTCCTAGTCCCGTTGTCGTAAGTAATATACCTTATCCACCCACATTGCCTACTGCTTTTCTAATGTCACATCACATCCCGATGTGCCTTTCTCCTGTATCGCTCCACATCCTTTCAAAGAATTCCGGTTTTCAGTACTTAGCCGATCAGATTGGGGAAAAGTGAACACGATAAAAGAAATGGAACACATGAATGAAGTTCACAAAGATCGTTGGTGTTCGAAAGAAAGATTGGAGAATGTAGGGGGAAGGGAAAGACAGAAGTAGCCAAAGTACGCGTCATGGCCATTCGACAGTGCTGCTGTTTAAACCTTTTTAGAACTAAGAATGAATTGTTGTACAGACCTACAAATTTGATTGTTTTGAGTTGCAATCTACATTAATGTCCCCAAAGAGGAGGTGTTTTACAGTAATTTCGTTATACCAGAGATTGAAACATTACGATACGGAAATGGACAAAGTTTATGCAGTGTAGTAAGAAATGGGACGAGTCTTCTGGTTCGTGGACAAATAGAATTGTCTCGAAGATGGGCTTTACAAAGGTCATAATTAAATGGGCTACTGCGGTTTCGTAATTGACAATGTAAAATATTTACTTTTTAAAAACCTCATTCAAGAAAGCACACAATTTTGGGATAAAAGACGAGTTTTGAATTGTCTGATGGATTCTGATGACTTTGGTTTCTAGTGGTAAATTATTCCAGCAGTGTGCAGTACTGGGTATGAAGAATGATTATGTAATTTGCAGTCTGTAGTGTGGGGTTTGAATGTTATTCCTGTTTCTAAGGCTGTATGTATAGTGTCGATTTGGTTATTTAGGTCAGAAACAGATTGAAATAAGTTATTTAGAATGTTAGATTTTATAAAGTCGTCTGTGGTTAGATGGTTATTAGTAGAGTTTAGTAAGGGAGGAATAGCAGTAGAAGGGTTCCCTTTTGGGTTAGCTTGGCTGTCATTGATAAGTCCATTTACATGTGCGTAGACGTGTTATGGCGTGTTTAAGCATGTAATTGACCTTCTCATCGGCATGTTTAAAGTTAGTTTCAGAGATTGGTGGTTAAACTCTGATGAAATGTCTTCTTATTCTGTTTCTACGTGTGAATTATTTTCTTATATCTCCATTCATCCATGATTTGTCATTTTTATTTACAGTTATATTTTTTTCTCGGAATGTGTCTTACCAAAATAGAAAGTTTATCGATGAACAATTGAAATTGTTCGCTTAGATCCTCCACACAAGAAAACAAATCTGGCCACTTTACCTTTCCGAACTCTGTTTTAAGATTTAAAATAGCTACTGTATTATTTAATAAAATATTTCTCTTAAAAACTTTTTGTAGGCAGGTTGATAATGACACAATAATAGCCCTGTGATAGCTTATAGTTTCTAAAACCAGTACAACAATGGATGCTTTGGAGGATATATTATTACTGATGTAAAAAGGGTCAATAAGGGATTGTTTAGTGTTCGTCACTCTAGTTGACCTTGTGATCAGGTTAGTTAGATTGTATGGCTGAGTGAGAAAGCTAAGATCGTTGTTGTTTCTTGTCAGTAAGTCTATGTTAATATCTCCTGTCAGTATTACATGATGGCTGTAGTCAAACGCTATGTCAAATGAGTGTTACAGTCGAATCCAGATTCCAGAGTTAGTATTTTGCCAAGGTGGTTGGTATAGTACACATAAAAGATAATTCTTAATATCAATAGAAAATTCAATCCAATTTCGTCATTTGGTGATTCAATTTCCAGTCTGCAAGAAATTTTTATGATTTTATGATTTAATGATTGAAACACTGAGATTTAAAGACATTTGTTCCTTTAATTATCAACTGGATAAAAACATTTCAAAACAACACTAAATCTGCGGATAGTATACGTGGTAATCTCTTTGCTTTTTGGTATTGAGTGGACCCTAATCCACCTTAATAATTCTAATTCTATTATATGCAGAAATTCTTTCCATTATGCTACAAAATAATAACTTTATAAAAGGTATAAATGTATTAGGAAAAGAAATTCTAATGTCTCAGTATACTGATGAGACCTCAATTATCCTTGATGGTACTCAAACTTCTTTATCTGCAACTCTTACAGCTCTTTCACATTTTGCAGCAATCTCAGGATAAAACTTGAATCACTCCAAGACCTAGGTAATTTGGATAGGTAGCATAAAATATAGTAACGAAAGTCTAGAGACTCAATGTGATATACAGTGGGGAAATACTAATTTTAACTTATTAGGTATTGACTATAATGTTGACTTACACAGAATAACTAAAATTAGCTTGTACAGAAAATATTAAAATATTTTTT